CAAATACGACGGCGACGAGATTACCTGGCGGACGGACCACCTGCACCAGTTGGGAGAAGGCCACCGACAACGCATCGACTCATACGCCCAAGAAAAGGTAAAGGGTGGAAGTGCACGTGCTGTGAACAGAAGATCGACAAGCACACCCCCTTCCAGACACTCGTGAAGTGGTTTGGGGACGGCTGCCAAGGGCCGCCACCCAAGGAAGGCACGGAGCTAAAACAAAATGGAATGACCACACACGCATCGCACCCTCTCATCTTCCTGCGTGCTGAGAAGCGTTGGTTCTGCAAGGAATGCGGCGCCACCTCCACGGAATATATATCGGACAAGATGAGGAGTGAGTGCAAAGGAAAGCCGACGTACAACAGCCTCAAATACAAATTACTAAACTGGCTCAAGAAGGCAGCGGAGGAGAAGACTGAGGAGACTGTGGATGAGCGTGAGGCAGTTACCGAGCAGGCCCAACTGGCCCGCTCCTCGGGGTTGGGCACATGTGCGACGCAGAGTACCAGTCCAGCATCGCAGACGCGCATACGTCGCCACGCTGCTGGACCTGCCCCAGGTGGCACGCACTGCTCGCCCGCAGCCGAAAGGCCGTTGAGGGTTGAGGGTACCGACCACCTGGGGAGTCAGAACGCTGCATCGCAGATGCTCAGTCGTCGCCATGCTGCTGGATCTGCCTCAGGTGGCACGCACTGCTCGCCCGCAGCCCAAGGGCCATCGAGAGTAGAGGGTATCGACCACCTGGGGAGTCAGAACGCAGAGACCACTCACAGCTCACGAGCGGCAGCGGAGAGAGCAACCAGAAGAAGGAGAAGCCGTACCCAACTCCCAGACACGAGAGCGCTCCTGCAGCAGGCCATCATGATGCAAATACGAAGTACCCGCGCCATCGAGGAGGATGAAGAGCCGCTCCTCCGAATAGATGAAGACCCGCGGCCTGCTCACCCTCCTGAGCCAGAGCCTGAAGCTGAAGCAAATCGAGGAGACTCACCCTGGGGCACCCACACATCAGGGGAGACCTCAGGAGAGAGCTCGGGCGCTACGACGACGCGAACCCGTTCGGCCAGCCCAACGGCGAGAGCAGGGCCGACCCCGAGGGCCCACGCGCCACTGGGCGTGGGCCCGCCACCTCCAGGGGAATCAACAGCACGACCAGAAGGTGAACCACGGCTCCGCGCGCCTCCGCAAGACGCGCGCGGAGAAAGGGCGGCCTCAGGGCGCGGCCCTGGACAAGGTATGAATGCCCAACTGGCCCGCTCCTCGGGGTTGGGCACATGTTCGACCCAGAGCACCAGTCCTACGGCCAGATGCAGACCACGAGTGGCGGCAGCAAGTGCAACCAGCAGAAGGAGAAGCCGACTACAGCTCCCCGGCACGAACACCCTCCTGCAGCAGGCCATCATGATGCAGATACGAAGCTCACGCGCCATCGAGGAGGACGAGGCACCGCTCCTCCAGGCTGGCGAGGACCCTCGGCCTGCGCACCCACCGCACCACGCACCTGAAGCTGGAGCAGGCCGAGGAGGCCCACCCTCGGGCACCCCCACGTCGGGGGTGGCCCTCGAAGAGGGCACGGGCGCTACGACGACGCGAACCGCTTCGGCCAGCCCGACGGCGAGAGGGAGGCCGACCCCGAGGGCCCACGCGCCCACGCGCGTGGGCCCGCTCCCACCTGCAGAGGCCGCAGCTCGCCAAGTCGGCTTGCCAAGGCTCCGCGCGCCTCCGCAAGATGCGCGCGGAGAAAGGGCGGCCTCAGGGCGCGGCCCAGGTAGACGGCTCCGAGCGCCTCCGCCAGACGCGCTCGGAGAAAGGGCGGGGCCCAGGCCCGCGGCCCTTGAGCGGAGCCCCGCGCGCGGGAGCGCGGGGCCAGACTCGCACCTGCGAGAGGCGGAAAGCCCTGAACGCTCATCCTCTTGTTCCTTTTCCTCATGCTTCCCCTCATCCTGCCCCTCCTCATGCCCCCCCTCCTCCCCCTCGTCCTCCCCCTCCCCGCACTCCTTCCCGCTCCCCCCTCCCAATTCCCTACGCCTCTCCAGAGGTCAAACTTAATCTCTCTACGCCCCTCCTCGGCCCCCCCGTCCCCCATTCCCTTGGCGTCGAGGCCACCTCTCAGGCTCCCGGCGAGATCTGTCGCCTTGGGCGACGCGCAGCGTTGAACACAGCAGTACATGCAGGAAGCCGCAATCGCCCGACCATCCTTCCCAGTAGGTGCAGGAGGGATGTACGAAGAGAGGGTGCAGAGGAGGGTGGCGGAGATCCTGGGGATGTGCAAAAATTAGTGGAGCCCAAGTAAAAGCGTTGAGGGTGCGATCGGGACTGATAGGGAGTTACTGGGTGGAGGAGGGAGCAGAGAGGACAATGAGGAGGAGGAGGCGCAGTAAGAAGATGCGGAGGAAGAGGAGGAGGAAGAGGAGGAGGAGGAGGAGGAGGAGGAGGAGGAATGGGACCAGAGGAGAAGAAGGAGGAGGAGGAAGGAGGAAGGGGGAGGAGGAGGAAGAGGAGAAGGAGGAGGAGGAGGAGGAGGAGGGAGAGATGCGGAGGAGGGTGAAGAGGAGGAGGAGGAGGACGATGCACAGAACGTGGAGGAGGGGGAGGAGGAGGAGGAGCTGCGGCAGCACGCTGCAGCAGCCGAACAATAATCAGGAGCACCACGAAGAGGTTGCGAGCTACTAGACCGATATCGCCTGCAAAGGCACACAGCCTCAACTCGTGGTAGCTTTTCTGGATGATAATGGCCTTGAGCATAGGGTTCAGGATCAGGGCAAACAGAACTCCAGATAGCGGGCACTCCGGCTTCATCCCCCTCTGGGCCCAGAAGCCAGCAGGAAACGAGCTGCCCAAGCCAATGAAAGTCCAGACCCCAGAATAAAGCGCCTGAATCGCCCCCACCACCGCCTCGGGCACTCTCATCTTACGTAAGACGGCAAAAATCCAACTACGGTAAACACTCGGGAAAGCGTTCTTAAAATCAAACAAGCAGCTCCCAGCATCAATAATGCCTAAAGTGTGGGACCAAGAGAATAAGCTCGTGCCCATTTCAATGATGTTATCGAGCAACGATCGCCCCGTCACGAATCCCCGCTGGCATGGCTCGACAACATCAGCAGCGACATAATTCTGCGGCATGGCGAACATCGACGAACAAAGCTTGTTGCCTGCATTCGAGAGCGAAAGCATTCGAGTTTGACATGTGCTGCGAACCTTAGCGCCCCCTGAAACCAGATCTCCCTTAGGCGGGAACGCAGCTCGACAATAGTTAAACTCCCTGCTGGCACGATGCTCAGTCACTAGGCATTGGAAAGCGTCGTACAAAATCGTATGGGCAAGAACTGGGGCGTTGCGCCAAACCGAATAAGGAACGCCGTCGGGCCCAGGGGCAGTGTCCATTTTCCGGCCGAGGAGATTGAGCATCTGGTCGCGGCTTGCGATCCAGTCTATCCTCTCGTGCGTGCTGGAGACGAACTGGTCACCTGGCTCCTCGAGCGGGGTGACCTGCTGCAGGGAAAAATCAATGGAGTCCTCGCTCACCTGATACCCAGACTCGGCCTGAAAACACGTCACCCCAGAACTGCGAAAGAATTTGGGCCATCAAGGCGGGGTCCGAAATCGTCCTTCCGCCTTCCGTTCGAAGCCCCGCAAGGTACACCTTGGGACGAAGGGCGTCCCAGGCCGAAGCGAGCCGGCGAATCCGATTCAAATTGGCAGCTTGCGCATCAGGGGGGTCGGAACTGCGAAGTACTTTCTGGGCCCTCGCATCCATGATCCCGCACTGCATGGTCGCGATGTGCTGGTGGAAGCCCGCCCACTCACGCCACCCACGCACATCTGCACAGAAGAAGTCGGCGAGCTTGGGATACGCAGCGACACACGCCGCGCACACGCTGAACTTATTTGCGCGTGCTGCACGAAGAAGGCGCAGGCAGATGAAGACTTTGCCTTCGAGATGTTTGGCTCCGGCGTGGAGGACGTGCCACTCCATTTTTTTGGCCGGAAAACACCTGTTTCGCTTCTAGGAGACGCTGGAAGGGGTCCTCGGAAAAGTCCTCTAGCCTGAACATTTCCTCGCAGACGCTGTGAAACACGCTGTGCCCCGAGATCCAGGACGGAATCGCAACATAGTCAGTGGCCTCGTTCGACGGGACGCTGAGGCTGAGAAAGACGGGGGAGTGGTCAGAGGGCTTCGTCGCATTCGTGACGGGCCAGGCCGTGGAGGAGACAGGATTGAAATCAATAAAAACAGCACTGGGACGATTCGTGTAGATCCTGTCGAGACGAGCGTAGTTAGGATTGGTATATGTATTCGCACGGTGCGTATAATGTGGTTGAGACGGTGCGTATAATGTATGACAAGGAGGATGAAGAGGAGGAGAAGAAACGAGAGGAGTAGGAGGAAGAGGAGGAGGAGCAGGACGGGGAGGAAGAGAAGGGGGAGGAGGACGAGAAGGGGAGCGAGGGCGGGGAGTAAAGCAAGATAATGGAAGCTACAATGAGGATAATAGGCGCAGGCACGAGGAAGGCGAGCACGAGCACGAGGACGGGGAGGAGAACCCTTCCCTCCATCCTCCATCCTCCTGCCTCCTACCTCCTCCCTCTCCCTCTTCCTCATACTCCTTCTCCTCCTCCCCCCCTCCTCCTCCTCCTCCTCCTCCTCCTCCTCCTCCTCCTCCTCCTCCTCCTCCTCCTCCTCCTCCTCCCTCCATCGCTCCCTCCCTACCTCCCTCCCTCCCTCACTTACTCCTTCCTTCTTTCCCCTCCCTCCTCCTAGACCGCCTCCCTCCTCTTCCTCCTCCTCGTCCTCCACCTCATCCTCATCATCATCATCCTCCTCGTCCTCCTTTTCCTCCTCCTCCATGTTCACCCTCCTCTTCATCCTCATCCTCATCTTCATCATCATCTTACTCCCTCCCCCTCTCTCCTCTCCTCCTCCTCCTCCTCCCTATCCTCCACCATCTCATCCTCCCTCCTCCCTCCTCCTCTTCCCTCCCCATTCCGTTCCCTCCTCTCCTCCCGGAGGACATCGGGCAGGATGGCCAGGCGCCTCCGGACACGAGCTCGCTGCCAGACCGCCCAGCGCAGCCTCGGTCAAGCGGGCTGCGGGACGTCGGGGGGCGCCGCCGTGGGCTTGTCGCCCACGTCAGGGGGCGCCGCCGTGGGCTTGTCGCCTGCGCAGCCGACCTTCGAGGGACACCGCCGCCGGCGCGCGGGAAGGAGCAGGAGGCGAAGGGGACAGCCTCCCTTGAGGCCTCCCACTGGAGGTTGGCGAAGAGGGGCCCGGAAGATCGCGCCGCATCGCCGATGCATCGCCAATGCATCGGCGATGCACCGGCGACGTCGGCGATGCACCGGCAACGTCGGCGTGGAGGAAATCGGGCTCAGCATCGAGCCGCATCGCCAATGCATCGGCGATGCGGCGCGGTCCTCCGACCCCATCCACTCCGACCCCATCTGGGAGGCCTAGACTCCTGAAGAAGGCAGGGGGAGGCCACATACAGAGGGGCCCGGGAGGCTTCCAGCGTCTAATTAAACGACTGAAGAAGACAGGGGGGGACTCGTAAAGAGGGGCACAGGGGGCTTCCTCCCTCGCTCCCTTGAAGGCGGGAACGCTCGCGAGAAGACGCCGACCCTCTTTACCAGGGCTGCGCTACTCGCCCCGCCTCGCCGGTATGGCCCAGGCGTCCGGGCGTTTGAGAGCACGTGGCCGAGTCTGGAAACCCTGAAACCAAAAAAATCTCGCCATCTCTTGGGAGGCCGATTGATACTTCCGCCGGCTTCCGCCGGCGGATCCGCCCTCGCTTACTTCCGCAAGCTTCCGCCGACCTTCCACCGCATTCCGCCGCCTTCCAGCGAAGAGCTGCCAACTGCTTCGACCCTCGCCGGCAAGGACCTTTCTGGAGCGCCGCCACCTGGTGACGGCCAGCCTTTCCACGCTCTCGGCCGCTCGAGGCCACGCTGCGGGCCCCGGGTGGCCGTGCACGGACGGAGCCCCGGACGAAACGCAGCTCCCTGGGACCCGCGCCGCACGAGCCACGGCACCAGCTGTCCAGGAGGGCACCTCGGCAGAGCGTGGGGGGCACTCGCCGACCAGCCACTCCTTGGGGAGCACGGGTCTTGGTGGAGATATGGGCGCCCTCCTAGATGGCATGCCTCCTGCCTGCACTTTCCAGCAATCGCGCCTGAGACTTTGCACTGCTGTGACGCTGTGGGGTAGCAGCGGCGGCCCTGAACTCAGCCCGAGAGGTGGCCCCCGGAATGGAGCTCAGGCTGCCCTCGACAGGCACCCAGAACCCAGGGGAGGTCTGCACAGCCCGGCGCCGCAAAGGGGCGGCGCCCCAGAGGCACTCCTCGCCCCCGGGAGAGGGGGGTAGGGGAAGAGGGGAAGGCTTCTTAGAAGGAGGCTGCTTCTCAGAAGGCCTTCCTTCTATGGATAAGGCCCGCGCCTTCTCAGAAGCGGGGGTGCTTCTAAGAAGCCTTCCCCCCTCCCCCTACCCCCCTCTGCGTGTGGCTGACTCTTGAGGTCAGCCTTGACGGCCGACAGAAAAGTCAGCCTGCAGACAGGCTGGACTGCAAAGTCGAAGCATGGCTGCGGCAAGTTCGTGTCGTGTCAACCCCAGCGTTGGTTCCTGACACCGCGGGCATCGTTCAGCCTTGAAGGATCGGCCGTTGCCGAAACCTCAGCTCGTTCAACATGGACCGATTCAGAGTCGCAAGCGGCCTTCAACGTTGAACGCCCTCGGTGGGGTCGCCGCTAGTCGACACGACGTGAGCCTACTGTACGAGAACGCGGGTCAAAAACATGACCCCCTTCGCCGCATGCCCGGCGCCTCATGGACATTACCCCAATCGGATAACAATGACACGTGGGTAGAACTCTGAAATTGCGAAAATAATAATACCCATGACCACTCCGAAACAAAGGTTGGTTGTAACCTTCGTGCCACTTACAACTCGGGAGAAAATAGATCCGTTTTCTGGAGGATGAGGAAAAAGGAGGAGGAGGAGGAGCCGGAGGAGGAGGAGGAGGAAGAGGAGGATGAGGACTTCCCGCGACCTGCTGGGTCGTACAACACCACTCTTTCTTCATCGCGGACCAGCCGTCCTCCCAATTCTCCACGCCTGCACCGCAGTTGAAGGCATCAGTAATGGTCGTCGAAGACGTGGACGACGTCGTGGTGGTTGTGCTGGACGTACCTGGCAAGTGGGATGAGAGGAAGGATTGGGAGGAGCGAGTGCAGGAGAAGGAGAAGCAAGGATAACAGAGGAGCAGGAGGATGACTGGGAAGTGACGGGGATGAGGACGGGGACGAGAAGGAGGATGTAGAACATGCAACATGCGGCAGGGAAGTAGGGTAGCACGAGGACAATTACGAAAGAAGAGCAGAACGAAAGGGAGGAGGGAGGAGGGAGAGCAGCAGCAACACGAGCAAGAGCAGATGGAGGAAATGATCGTGGTGACGGGAATATGTCCATCGTATTATCGAACAGTTACGCCTCCGCCGTGGTCGACTGCCCCATCCCTTTCGTAAACGAGTTCGCTTGACGATCCTTCTACGCAGACGCTGCGCAAATGGTTCGATTACACCATCCTGCGTTGGACGCTGGCACATCACATCATCAATCACCTGAAGCTGATGAATCAATTTCTCCAGACGCGTCCGAGGCGCTCCGTTTTCCGCAATCGGGATCCATTTGGTCGTCGTCGAAATACGTTGCCTCCGCCAGAACACCGTGCCGACACAACATGTTGATTACGCTGAAGCGTGAGGCGTCGGCGTCGACGCTTTGCCATCGGACGGCGACCCTATCTTGCCTCTGCTGCCTCAATCAGCACGCATGCCATAACAACCACGAATCCGCTTGCGATTTGAGCCCTGACTGGTATCGGGATCGACTCGTTAAGCTCACACGATTTTTTCAACGGCTCGCCGATAACAACGCTTCATAAAGTTGGCGCATTAGCTGGGTCATCAATTGTCATTGGACGAATCGCTGCCGCGGGTAGTGCTGGTACTGGAGACGTCGCTGCCAGGCAATCGTTGCCAAATTGCTGCGTATTGTGCGAAGATCGATGGTTCTGTGAACGCTTGGCCACGCGAGCTGCATCGTCAACAAGCTTCGGTAGCTGGGGGGGGGGGAACCGTGCTGGGACGATGAGGCGTAGGGAGGGGAACGGGAGTGGCAGTATGCAAATTGTGTCTTCCCCGTCACACCCCTGGTGAGGTTGGCGATTATATGCCCCTTCGTGTCGCAACTGGACCAAGTCTCCCCTTTATGGACTCCCAGCTGTCCATGAGACGGTTGCGCACGTAGCCACAGATGGCGGTCGCTAGTATCGCGCCCCAAGCCAGAGTGGACGCTTTTGTCGCAGTGACAGTCCCAGTGACAGTCGCGACTGCCATTGCCAAAACGTTAGATCCTGCTGGAGTCTAGCGTGCCGACAAGCTCGGGCTCATTCCAGCAGCAACTTCGGGTTTCGCGATAAGCACTTCCATACTGGCTGATATGATGCGATTGGTTTTCAAGAGAACGTCCATTCACGGACTGGTTGCGAAGGACCAATCAAACTACACCGTATTCACTTCGGCCGCCCTCGCGGACGGCTCCCAGGGAGTGGAAAGTTGGATTCGCATTTCTTCTGCAGAGAACTCGAGTTCAAAAGCGCGCTCTTGGCCCTCGTCTCCCTAATGTCTTCGTTGATATCCCAACGCTCTCCGTCCTGCCCATTGTTGCTCATGCGTCTGATAATGGACCGCACCACATTCCCGGACTCCCTCAAATCAGGGCCCCGCAAATGCGGACGGAAGTGACACAGGACAGTCGTACGCCCGAGAACTGCCATCGAGGGCCGGAACACGCTGCATTCTGCGCTCGCCCGTCGTGTGCTTCGAGATCCTCTAGTTTGCACGGCCCTGGTTTCTGGGACGCTGGTCAAGCAAGAGCTGCACAATGTCGAGCCTTGTTGAGAATGCGAAAACCCACCCCCACCCCCAGTCCCGACGCCCACCCCCGAGCCCGCGATCTGGGGGGTCGGGACTGGGGGTGGGGGTGGGTTTTCTCTATTCCTGGACCCAAAAAAACCCACCCCCACCCCCGGTCCCGACCTCCCGGATCGAGGGTTCGGAAATGGGGTCGGGACTGGGGGTGGGGGTGGGTTTTCGCCTTCTCACTTGTGGGATGTGACATCGATGGGGCTTTTGCTGCGAGTTCGGCGGCAAACCCTGCTGGCCTTCCGGTGGGCCCAGCCGTCGGGCATGCCAACGACACGGGGCCACGAGGCCGTGGCGAACGCTGTACGGACCGCATGTGCACGCGCGGAGGCCACGGGCGCAGTGAATGATACTCCTCTTGAACCCCACATGTCGGAAGCGACGCGCCGTTCAGGTGAGCGGACACAGGAAATTGGATCCGCGCAACACAGAAATAGGATCCACGAAACTCTCCCACACCCGAAACAAGGATTCAATTGGATCCATTGATGTTCTCATCTGTATTCCAAGAGGGAAAAACTTTCGGCCTGGGGATGTATGGAGCCATGGCCACCTTCAAAAGTACATCCGCCAGTGTCATGCAAGCGGCGCTGAGTGCAGCAACTGTTGAGGTGCTGAGGAGGTGGGCGGTTCCCACCTGCGGCGCCGCCCTACGCTCAAGCAGCTGGAAAGCACCAGGAGGGGCATCGTCAAGCGCGACGCCCACGCGGCATGCGTATCTGCCTGCGGGCCAGGTGACGTCGCAGACGTCCGCGTCGCTGAAAGTACAAACCGCCAGAACATACCCCGACAGTGGGGCTGAATGTTTTTCATTGACAACCCTGGAGTCCAAGAGTTTCCCCCTCCCCAAAAGCAAATACCCGAGCAACGCACCCGAATAGCATCCAAGGTATGGAGGCGGATGGACACCTGAAGCGTCGGCTTGTGACAACGACCTCATTATATTGTCGATACCTATACGACCACCCTTCGGGTGATAAGGAGGTTCGGGGGGGGGGCCAACGTCTCACTCGATCGGTCTCACTATCGATCCCACTATCGATCTCACTAGCGGTCTCGCTCGATCGATCTCACTCGATCGATCGCACAATCGATCTCGTTCGATCTGTTTCATTCGATCGATCTCACAATCGATGTGACGATCGATCTCACAATCGATCCCACGATCGATCTCACGATCGATCTCACAATCGATCTCACATGCGGCCTCACTATCGATCTTACCATCGATATGACAATCGATCTCACAATCAGCGCCATCGTCATCATCAACGTCGTCGTCATCAACGTCATCAACATCATCATCATCATCATCATCATCATCATCATCATCATCATCATCATCATCATCGGGGCACCATCATCATCATCACCTCATCACCATCATCATCAACACAATCCTCATCACCATCATCATCATCGGGAAACCATCACCGCCACCATCATTATCATCAACATCATCATCATCATCATCATCATCATCATCATCATCATCATCATCGGGACACCATCACCATCATCACAATCGGAACACCACTACCATCACCATCATCATCTCATCATCATCATGAACAACACCATGAACATCATCATCGGGAAACAATCATGAACAGCAGCGCCATCATCAGCATCACCACCATCGGGACACCATTATCATCGTCACCATCATCATCACCATCATCACCATCGGGACACCATCATCATCATCATCATCAGCATCATCATCACCATCATCAAGCCACACTCATCAAAATCATGATCACCAACTGATCATCATCCTCATCATCAGCATCATCATCATCGGGACACCATCATCATCATCATCATGATCATCATGATCATCAGTATCAGCGGGCCACAGTCATCATCACCATCATCAACAACATCATCATCAACCTCATCATCATCAACATCACAATCATTATCGGGACACCATCACCACCATCACCATCTCATCATCATATCATCATCATCAAAATCATCAGGATCACCAACATCATCATCATCATCATCATCATCGGGACACCATCATCATCATCAGTAACATCATCATCATCAACATCCTCATCATCGGGGCACCATCATCAACACCACCATCACCATCATCATCATCATCAACATCGCCAACATCATCATAATAACCATCATCATTATCATCATCATCATCATCATCGGAACACCATCAGCATCACCACCATCACCATCATCATCATCATCATCATCGTCATCATCATCAGCAGCATCATCATCATCATCATCATCATCATCATCGTCAACATCATCAACATCACCATCATCATCACTATCATCGGGACACCGACGGGACACCGGCGGGACACCGGCGGGACACCGCGCTCCACCGGCCCCCAATCAGGAATCATTTGGTCCGGCCGGGCCTCAGCCGGACGCGGGACACCGGCGGGACACCGCGCCCCACCGGCCCCCGGTCAGGAATCAATTGGTCCGGCCGCGCTTCAGCCGGAGGCGGGACACCGGCGGGACACCGCGCCCCACCGGCCCCCGGTCAGGAATCATTTGGTCCGGCCGCGCCTCAGCCAGAGGAGACTTTCTTCTCGCCCGCCCACGCAGCTTCGCCTCGCCCGCACGCGCCGCACGCACGATCACGAAACCGAAACCGATTTCCTGGTAAGGGGGGCTCTCCCTTCCACTTCGATCTCACCCCCTCACATCCGACGATTGCGGAATTGACCATGTTGATGGGGATGACGTTCATGATGTCGACATGGTGACATGGACGCGGTGGACACAGCGTCAGGGACGAGCGACCCCACCCCTGGTAGCTGGAATGGTGACAAGACGATGGCCCCCCGGATAGCTGGAACGGTGAGAATCCAATGCCCCTGCCACAATTTCTCAACCCACGACGTCTGAAATTGAATACCTGGCCCGCCCAGAGGATCTAACTATAATGAACGAGAACACCATAGTGAGATTGATGTCTCAATCTAGGCAAGCTGCAATCGAGCCGAAACACAATAGTGAACATCATTTTTTGACCAAGTCGAACCAGAACGCCCGAGTCATTTCTGGATCTGCGAGGGCTGAAAACGACCCAAAGAATTGTAATCGACCTGCGGTAACTTTGGTGGTGGGAATCTTTGAACTGAAATCGAACCAGGACGTAACTTCTGAGCAAAATTGAGCCCAGACAGAATTCATAATCCCAAATCTGGACCCGGGACGGCTGAAGTCGAGCCAGAACGCGATCGTGAACATCATTTCTGGGCCAAATCGAGTCAGAACATCAAAGCGAGTTGCATTTCTGGACCTGCAAAGCCTGAAACCGAGCCAAAACACCATAGCGAGACCATTCTGGACATCCGCCGGACCAGTGACACGCCCCCTCGCGCCTCCCCTATGGAGAGGTTGGCGGAAGGGAATCGAAGCAGAACGCAATACTGAGTCTCACTTCTGGACCACACCGAACCAGAACACCAAGTGAGTCTCATTTCTGGCTACGAGAGGGCTGACATCGAACCAGAATACGTAGCACCCCGCAATTGCGGATAAGACTGCGGGGGCGGGCGCGGGCGACGCGGGCGTATAGCCGGCGGACCTTGTGGACCTCACCTTTCCTGTCGATGGCGCCTTCCTCCTCTTCGTCCTCTTCCTCCTCCTCCTCCTCCTCCTCCTGGTCCTCTTCCTCCTCCTCTTCCTCCTTTTCCTCCTCTTCCTCCTCGTCCTCCAAGGGCTTGGATGAGCGGAGCTCGAAGAGGGCTCGGGGGGCTCAGACGGCATGCAAAATCCGCCGCCGCGCTTGTGCGGCATTGGCGTGTTGTGTGGTAGGGTTCGTGGACGCCCCCCTCAGGAAGGTCATTGAGCGCCCCGAGGCCCCTTAATTGTGGGCGCCTTGAGAGGCAGCCCCCTGAACCCAGGCTTTGGCCACGGATGCCGAATCGCAGCAGGCAGCTGGATTGTCAATGAACGTGTTCAGACAGCCCCGCCGCAGGCGCCGATGTGCTGTTGTAGATTTAACGTGTGCCGGATCGGGGGATTGGGCCGGATGCGAGCAAACCCGCCGCAGGCGCCGATTTGCGTGCTCTGACAAATTCATCGCGGAGGGGATCGCTGGTGGGCCCCCAAAAAACAGCCCGCCGCAGGCGCCGAATTCTTGGTTTGTTCAATGAACGTAGTTTTTCCCTTCCTTTCCGAAGGCGTGAAGCGCGATAGCACTAGCCGGATATCGTCGTTGTATGGTTTCAAGAGAACTCACATGTCGATGCTCATGTTTTCAAAAGGTCCCATATAAAATCCACGGCTTGCTCAAGTGCGACGGCCTCTGCGGTAAAGGATGAAACTGAATCGTTAAGAAAGGTTCCTGCCATGCAGATTGGATACGATACTGTCTGGTTCGGTAATTTGACGTGGGCTTCGACGTACCCAGCAGCTGCTGAACACCGTTTTGACCGGGTTCCGCCATCAGTGTGTATCAGATAATTCGCCCTCTGCACGGGCATGCCATCCACAGGAGGTACAAATTTCTGGCACCAGGAAAACTGGACGTCCATGGTGTGATTCGCAATATGGTCTGCTATTTTGTTGAAACTGCGCCGGCGCCACTGCACTGGGTGCGTTTCCGGCCGGCTCGTCATCCATCCATTCTCCACCAAATTGAAGAGCTTATCGGGGACATGGGTGAAGAGCGGCAAAAGTTTTGGATTGAGCAGACTCGTGTCCCCGCTGACAACGTTCGCCAAGGGCTGGCAGTCTGTGATGAAGCAGAAGTGCCGTTCTGGTCCGGCCCACCGCATCACTGGGGCGCCTTCGCCATGTCAGGCGGGTAAGTCGTCGAGGCTGTGGCGAATCGTCCGGGGTTGCTGCGCAGGTGGTGGCCTCATTGGCTCTTCGTCGTCGTCGTCCTCCTCCTCCTCCTGCTCTCTCGGCCTGTACAGCTTCCAATGGGCGCAAATCCGTTTTTCGAAGTCGGGGTAAAGCCGCATCCATTCAGTGAGCGTTGTGCACCTCTCTCGCTTTTGTCTCCAATCTACCCCAAGCACGTCGACGAAAATTTCTTCCCATTCGGTCCGGTGCCCCATCCCAGCGTGCTCATGCCCATTCGGTCCAGTGCCCCATCCCAGCGTGAACGTAGTTTGGGTCGCGGGTGGGTCGCGGGCTCTCCGCCTCCACCTGGAAGGCATTCAAAAACATACCGCCGCAGGCGCCGAACATTTTGTTTTGTATATACACTGAACGCGGTTTGGGTCGCAGGTTCTCCTCCTGGAACGAATGCAAAAGAAATCCGCCGCAGGCGCCGAAGTTTTGGCTTGTTCAGTGAACGTAGCTTGTGTCGCGGGTGGGTCGCGGGCTCTCCACCTCCACCTGGAAGGAATTCAAAAACAGCCCGCCGCAGGCGCCGAAAATTTCGATTTGTACACTGAACGCGGTTTGGGTCGAGGGTGGGTCGCAGGTTCTCCACCTGGAACGAATGCAAAAGAAGCCCGCCGCAGGCGCCGAAAATTTTGGGTGGGTCGCGGGGTGGGTCGCGGGTGGGTCGCGGTGGGTCGCAGGTGAGCCGCGGGTGGGTCGCGGGTGGGTCGCGGGGTGGGCCGCGGGTGGGTCGCGGGTGGGTCGCCAGTGGGTCGCGGGGGGGTCGCCGGGGGGGTCGCGGGGTGGGTCGCGGGCGGGGTGGGTCGCGGGTGGGTCGCGGGTGGGTCGCGGGTGGGTCGCGGGTGGGTCGCGGGGAGGGTCGCTGGTGGGTCGCGGGGTGGATCGCGGGTGTGTCGCGGGTGGGTCGCGGGGTGGGTCGCGCGTGGGTCGCGGGGTGGTTCGCGGGTGGGACGACGACAACAACAAACAACAAACAACAAATACCAAATAACC